AGCCTTCCAAGTAGCTGGAACTACAGGCATGCACCACCATGCCCGGCTAATTTTTTTATTGTGGAGATGTGGGCTCAGGCAGTCCTCTCACCTTGGCCTCCCAAAGTGCTGAGAGTATAGGTGTGAGCCACCATACCCAACCGGAAAAATAATATTTTTAAGGAGGATTAGAAATATCTAGGAATTATCCTTCTATTGTATGTGAAATTTTGTAAAATTTTCTTTAGGTATGAGAATATGTAAAGTTATCCTATAAATTGCTTTTTCTTTTAGCACATGATTTTAATAAAAGATCAACTATCAAAACAGCAAAATGAAGGTGATAGCATCATCAGTAAACTGAAGCAAGATCTGGAGGATGCTGTCAGGAGAGTTCATCAACTTGAAGATGTTGAAGTGAGCATTACCAAAGAACTGGGTGTACAAAAAGAAGAGTTAATTCACAGTGAACTGGTCCTGAGTGATTTACGTTTAGCCAAGGAGAAGCTTGAGGGTAAAGTAGAAGATTTAGCAGATCAGCTAAACAGATCACAAAAGGATAATGTATACATCCAGAAGGAAAACCTTGAACTTAAGGAACATGCTAGACAGAGCGAAGACGAGCTTTCCAAACTCAGAAGTGAATTAGCTCTGTCACATAAACAAGACTCTAACTGTGATTTTAAGGATAACTTGCTTAAAGAAAGGGAGGCTGAAATTAGACACTTAAAGCAAAATCTTTCAGAGCTAGAACAGCTCAATGAAAATTTAAAGAAAGTTGCTTTTGATGTCAAAATGGAAAATGAAAAGTTGGTTTTAGCGTGTGAAAATTTAAGACATCAGTTAGAAGACTCTATTGCTTGTGACAGTCAGATTTCTCTGGAAAAAAGCACTATTGTGGAGACTTTAAAAATGGGCCAAGGACAGATAACAGCAGTGTTGTGTCGGGCTGAGCAGAGGCTGGTGGAAGAAGCCAGCAAGGACAAGCATGCCCCGGAGGGGCTGTCAGCTGTACACAACCCTGGTCCTGATGCCTCTGCCCCACTGCTGGAGCATGAGCAATTAGCCAGGCTCAGCCGAGAGAAGGACTGTGAGATAGCAGAGCTCAGGAAGAGCATGGAGCAGTTGGACTCTGCCCACAGAGAGACGAAGAGGGTGCTGTCATCTAGCTTAGAAGAGCAGAAGCGCTTGACACAACTTATCGGCGAGAAAGAAGTGTGTATTGAAAAGCTTCAAGAGAGAAGTTCAGAGCTGCAGGAGGAATTAGGTCAGTATTCACAGGCCTTTAAAAAAAATGAGCTGTTAAGGCAGACCCTTGAAGAGAAGGACCGCAGCCTCAGCGCCATGAAGGAGGAGAACAACCACCTGCAGGAGGAGCTGGAGCGACTCCGGGAGCAGCAGAGCCGCACTGCACCAGTGACCGACCCCAGGGCCCTTGACAGCATCATGGAACTCGAGGCAGAGGTGTCGCAGCTGAATGTTGCTAAGGGCCGTCTTGAAGAGGAAGTTATACACCACCAGAAGGTCATTGAAGAGCAAAGCCGGAGTAAGATGCAGCTGCTCCAGTCTCTGCAGGAGCAAAAGAAGGAGATGGATGCGCTGAGTTATCAGCACGAGCAGGTGAGTATTGCCCATGCACGGGTCCTCCTGCAGAAAGACGAGGAAATCCAGAGCTTGCAGAGGACTATTGAGCAGGTCAGAACCCAGGTGCAGGAAGAGATGCCCGATATCCAGGCAGAGGATTCTGACATTTTTCAAGAAGCGAAAGTACAGAGCCTGAATATAGAAAATGGCAGTGAGAAGCATGATTTATCCAAAGCTGAGACTGAAAGACTAGTGAAAGGACTAAAAGAGCGAGAACTGGAGATCAAACTCCTAAACGAGAAGAACATCTCTCTCACAAGACAGATTGATCAGCTGTCCAGAGATGAGGTGGGCAAGCTCACTCAGATCATCCAGCAGAAAGACCTGGAGATACAGGCTCTTCATGCCAGGATGGCAGCAGCGCCTTACAACCAGGACCTCACCTACCTTCAGCAGCAGTTACAGGCCTACACCCTGGAGCGTGAGCAGGTGATGGCTGTCCTGAACGAGAAGACCAGGGAGAACAGCCATCTGAAGGCAGAGTACCACAAGATGATGGATGTCGTAGCTGCCAAGGAAGCAGCCCTCATCAAGCTGCAAGATGAGAATAGGAAACTATCCACTCGGTATGAAAGCAGTGGCCAAGACATGTTTAGAGAGACTGTTCAGAACTTGTCACGTATCATTCGAGAAAAAGACATTGAGATAGATGCACTTAGCCAGAAATGCCAGACTCTACTGGCGGTTTTGCAGACATCCAGCACTGGTAACGAGGCTGGAGGAGTGAACAGTAACCAGTTTGAGGAGCTTCTGCAGGAGCGTGACAGGTTGAAGCAGCAAGTGAAGAAGATGGAGGAATGGAAGCAGCAAGTGATGACCACCGTGCAGAACATGCGGCATGAGTCGGCCCAGCTCCAGGCGGAGCTGCAGCAGCTGCAGGCCCAGGTGCTGGTGGACAGTGACAATAGCTCCAGGTTACAGGTGGACTACACGGGCCTTATCCAGAGCTATGAGCAGAATGAAACTAAACTCCGAAACGTGGGACAGGAGCTGGCGCAGGTTCAGCACAGCATAGGACAGCTCTGTAGCACCAAGGACCTGCTCTTGGGCAAGCTGGATAGCATCTCACCCCAGCTGAGTTTCGGGCCACCGCTGGCTCTCCAGCTGGAAGAGTCTCCTGGAGTGAGGGAATCTGCGGCAGTGGGGGAGTCTTCTCAGCCACTTCAGCAGGAGGTGGAGGAGCTGAGAAAATCACTGCAAGAGAAAGATGCCACAATTAGAACTCTCCAGGAAAACAACCACAGACTGTCTGAATCTGTTGCTGCCACCTCCCAGCTAGAACGAAAAGAGCACGAGCAGACTGACTCAGAAATTAAGCAGCTCAGGGAGAAACAGGATGTTTTACAGAAGTTACTTAAGGAAAAAGACCTCTTAATCAAAGCCAAAAGTGATCAGTTACTTTCCTCAAATGAAAATTTCACTAACAAAGTAAATGAAAATGAACTCTTGAGGCAGGCAGTAACAAACCTGAAGGAGAGAGTATTAATTTTAGAAATGGACATTGGTAAACTAAAAGGAGAAAATGAAAAGATAGTAGAGACCTCCAGGGGAAAGGAAACCGAGTATCAGGCCCTGCAGGAGACAAATATGAAGTTTTCCATGATGTTGCGAGAAAAAGAGTTTGAGTGCCATTCGATGAAGGAGAAGGCACTGGCATTTGAACAGCTGCTGCAGGAAAAAGAGCAGGTATGTTCTGGGTGAAACACTACGGGAGGAAGTTGAGGGGTGAGTTAGTTACTTTATTGATGCTGTCTCTGAAGAGGACCGTGGATTTGTGCACTTAGAAATAGTGTTTCAAGGTGCTATAATTCATTCTAAGTAAATTTTCCTCAGAGGCATCTGGAAACTTCTCCTGCAAAGTTTTAGATAATTTCTAAATATGTTTAGTAGTACATACGTTTTACAGCTTGCCAATCAGAAAAAATATTGGTTGTAATTATTATTTTTCTTTAGAAAGTAGAAGTATGTCGCAAGAGGGTATTTGGAAGTCACTTCAATGGAACCACATTTTAGGTGTATTTCAGACCCTGCTAATAATGGTTCACATGTTAGAGATTCTTACATCAGGAAAGGCACCATGAAAGACACACTACACTTTGACCAGATCTGCAGCGAGAAAGAAAAAGATGTTACAGTGTGATTCTTAAATGTCAGGGAAGGCACTGTGGAGACACGCCACACTTCACTGCCATTGCGAGACAGCGAGAAGTCGTTTCATGCTGTGACACAGGAAGCACTTGTGTGCGTGAAGCTGAAAGGAAGTGTTGAGAACTAGAAGTTGCGCTTACTGCCTGTGGTGCTCTGTTGAAAACAGAATATGCTGAGTGACTGATTGCATTGATTTTTATGAATCGTTTCATCACAACCTGTAATTTGATAACTGTCAGCATGAGAAGTACTCTTCCCATCGTAGATTCAGTAAATAAATATTCTAGTCCCGGCTCTGTCACCCATGTGACTCTGGGTGTATTTTGACCTATTGTTTGTTTTTTTAACTATAAAGCAGGGGGCCTGGCAGGTTTAGGGACAGTGCTATTAGCTTTTGATTCATTTACATTTTTACTTTCAGTTCATTTTGTAAGAATTATTGAGGATTTCTGTTATACTATGGTAGGTGCTAGGTAAAGCTTATTTGGTAGTACTTTTCATAGAAAAAGTACCTTACTTTTATAAAAAAATTTAGAAAAGAGATGATGGGCAGAACAATGGAATATCAACTTGGAATGCTTGAACATTTACCTGCTGCCGGGCACAGGATACAAAGTGATTCAACTTCATTTGTCAGTTAAGTTCTGTCTTAGAGTCATGGACTAAGTTGTGAAATACAACGTTTTTTAAAAAGGCGAGATGATAGGAGACAAAAGGAAAAAATAAGTTATGACAACTTCCCTCATTTTCTCCTTCACCACCTGATTAAGTGGTACATGGATTATTGTGTGAGATGCTCAAGTGCTTCCAAGGTGCCCTCTTAACCTTGACATGCTGGTCTGCAATTGGTGAGAAAGAACTCTTGAGACTGGAGCTGCCTACTGCTCACCATCCGGAATCGAGGGGCATCTCATACCACTGTAAGGGTAGGATGGAGGGACTGGACAGTGGAGTCTCTTGTCATGTCTGTTTTTTTCTTGTGTGGTTTTAGCATCTTATGCAATTTAGTTCTAGGTCATTGACATCTACAGATCTAAAGTGTGCTGATTTTATTAAGGCTGACTTACATTTAGGAAGCATCCCTGAGTTAGCTAAGTGGTATGTAAGTATTGCATTACTTGAGGGCAAGTAGTGTAAAGTCGTATCTTCCAGTACTCTCTATATAATTTAAAGGTACCTTTAGATTATATGTTGAATATAGCAAATAACATCTTTTTTTTTAGGGGAAAGGGAATGTTCTCAACAAATTTTTCAGAACTATTTAATTTCCCAAACATTTGCTCTTTATCTGTGACGTGAAAAAAAATTAACTGAGAAACTATTTGGCCTCCCTCTCCAGGAGGGGCTGTTGAGATGAAAGAAACAGATGGTTTTATGTCTTGGTGTTACTGGTTTATCCTGGGGTTATATTATATATTCTTACAGAAATGGAAAGTTAACACGAAAACTTAAAATGTACTGAACAATAAATAGATTCACTTGATATGCATATTTAAAACAAAAGAATTGACTGTAAACCTCCTGGTACTTTTCTGTGCTTTTTTAGAATTTTGGTAATCTCCTGAATTCCTGGCCTGCCACCTGCAGTGAAGTGTCTTTCTCTGACAATGGCGGAGGGGCCTTGGGAGTGGACAGGTGTTCACATGTACATACATCTCTTGTTTTTGTTTTGTTTTGTTTTTGTTTTTTGTTTTTTGAGTTGGAGTCTCACTCTGTCGCTCAGACTGGAGTGCAGTGGTCACTCCCGGCCACTGCAGCCTCGACCCGCTGGGCTCCGGCGATCCTTCTGCCTCAGGCTTGCAAGAAGCTGGAACTACAGGCACGCGCTGCCATGCCCGGCTAATTTTTTTTTTATTTATTGTAGAGATGAGGTCTCGCCAAGTTGTCCAGGTGGGTCTGAAACCCACGGGCTCAGGCAATCCACTCACGTTGCCCTCCCAAAGCACGGGATTACAGGCTGAGCCACCGAACCGCCTCATCTCTTGTTAATTGAGGTGTTTGTGGATAAACTTGAGATTTTTATTTTGGGGTTCCTTTTAACATAATTCTAATAAGCTTTTTTTTAGAATAGTTTCAGATTTATAGAGGAGTGCCAACGGTTGTGGGGCGGAGCATGTACTCCACCTCATGCAGTCTCCTTTGTGAATATCTCATAGGCTGTGGTGTGTCTGTCACGACCAGTAGCCCAGTGTGAACAGCTGCCGTGGATGCACGTTCATGCTTTATTTGAGTTCCTTACCTTTGACCAAATGTCTTCTTGTCCATCTGGATGCCACATTCTGCTCACATGTTGGCCCTTAGGCTCATAGTCTGTGGCAGATCCTCAGACTTTCCTTATTTTCATGTCTTTGACATAGTTTGTTATACTTCTAAATTAATTATTTAATGGAGAAAATATCTTTTTTAAAATGTATTTTTGAAATTTTAATATTATTTCTTTCCAAAAGGGCAAAACTGGAGAGTTAAATCAGCTTTTAAATGCTGTTAAGGCAGCGCAGGAGAAGACAGTTGTGTTTCAACAGGAGAGAGACCAAGTCATATTGGCCCTGAAGCAAAAACAGATGGAAAGCAGTGCCCTACAGAATGAGGTACACATTCACTGTCAGTCACAGGGAATAAAACAATAAGCTTGAGAACTGTTAAGTAGGAGACCTATAAAGATTATTAATTAAAATGAATTTATTTTTCTCTGGTATGCAATAGTAGAACTTTGATCTCCCAGAGTGTATTTTATTTCAGTTTTTAGAATGAAACTGTGGCATACCTTGGATGTCAGAAACATTTCTGATCTGTAAAGAATGAAAAAAATGAGATTTACTAAAAAAATGGCCTTCCACAAAGAGTACTTCACGCAGCTTATTTTTGTATAATTCCATTTTCCATTATAGCCACAGGGAACAAGATCTTCAAAGTAAAACTTCCAAATGAATATTCAAGACTATCTCAGGTGAATTTTTCCCTAGCATAAATATGTCTTGCAGTGTGAGAATTTACTATACAGTTAACACACTTCAATGATGGGAAAGGGATTAGATAACAAAGCAACTAGCAGGGGAAAGGTAAAGAAGTGTCCTCTCCCTAGGTCCAACATTTACGTGACAAAGAGTTGCGGTTGAACCAGGAACTCGAGAGACTAAGGAACCATCTCTTAGAATCAGAAGATTCTTACACCCGGGAGGCCTTGGCTGCAGAAGACAGAGAGGCTAGACTCAGAAAGAAAGTTGTGGCATTGGAGGAAAAGCTGATGTCATCCTCCAATGCGATGGAAAATGCAAGGTAACTTCATTGTCTTGGGTTAACATTAGCTGAATACTTCTGAATGTCAGACTTGGCAAGCCTCTTTCCTATGTTAGCTCATCCTCGCCAGATTCCTTATCTCTGTTTCATGGATAAAGAAACTGAGGGTAATGAGATGTGGTGACCTGCCAAGGTCAGGCCTTCAAGGTGTGTGGTGTCATGCCCAGGTTTGGGACTCTCAGGCTGGTCAGCCTCCAGCTCTCTGAATCTTAGCCATCATCCTAGATAGTTGTCTCTTACCATTTGAGAGGAATTGTCTGAAATTCTGACTGTCCAACTCCCAGAAACTGCGTTCATTTATGTGGTTGTACTTTTCATCAAACAGTTGAGCTGGGAGTGGGAGCTAGAAGAAGAGAGATAAAGGAGTCAGAGTGAGACCTGGGGTGGTGTGGAGATCCAACTCTTGTCCTAAAACTTGAACAATGGGTCCCTGCTTATATACTTTAAAGTTTTATTTTGCTCATAAGATTGTTGTTGTTGTTGTTATTGTAAAAAGTGTTGTATTTTCCACCTTAGGAAAATCACACAAGCCAAAGGAACATAAAACAGAGTCCCACCTGCCCAGAGATCATCTTTTTTGTGCCTTTTTATGGTTTTGTGCTTGTGTGTATGTATCTTTTTTTAAAGCCAAATTGAGATCATGCTACTGTTCATACTGTTTTATAACTTGTTTCTATCAAGAATATGAATGTCAATACACGTAAGGCTGTGTATTTCTGCATTGTCATTTTATGGCTACTTAATATACCATTATTTGAACTTGTAATAACTTTTTTAACCCAGTCATTTATTTTTGGGGACTTTTGTGTTTTAACTTTTTGTTATCACTAAGAGTGCTGTCAGGCCTATCCCAAGACATGTTTTTGTGTTGATAAAAGCTTATTTCCTTAGTGTAAGTTTTAAAAAATGGAACTTCTGGATGTTGTGACCAGAGTGCAAGGAAGACGTTGTCAACACCAGAGTCAGATTATGAAATCTCTAATGAAGCTGGTGACCAAGAGGGAGCTCGTGCCTCCAAAAACTCTCGGCCCCAAATGAAGCGGAGAGAGGGTTTATAAAGACAAAAACTGCTGAATGAGCTACATGGCATGGGGTACAAACATAAGGTAAATTAGGCTACATAGCATGGGGCACACATATAGAACATTAAAATCACAAGGAAAGCAAAATGTGCAAGCGCATACACATAAATACAGAACTTATGGTTGAGGAGTTTCCAATGTTTCAAGGAAACAAGAGTGTAGGCTCCTGGTTATGGGAAGGTTACAGCTTATGATTATAAAAAAGTTATGTAGGAGGTCATTTTTAGGTTAAAGCAGCTAAAACAGCTAATATGGAAGATCTGTTACAAAGTGGAGTTACTTATGTTAAACAAGCTATTGCAGTCTATTCTAAGTTTTACAGGTACTTCATGGACAAAGGACATGTCCTTTTGAGATTGTACTGCTAAATTATTTTCCAGAAAAATTATATCCATTTATATTTCTATTAGTGGTATGTGCCTCTTGTTATTATTGACCTATCATATACTCTTCCCACCCAGTGAAATGTCAGACTTGGGGGTGAAGAATGATGCCATTTTGTACCTACAGCACAGCATATATTACACGTAGTCTAATAGCTGTGCAGTAAACATTTATTGTATGAGTAACTCAAATCTACAGGCTGGTGTTTTGAGTCATTATTTGATGATAGTAATACCAGGTTACTTTTCTTATTGCTGTCACAGTTCATTTTATCCTTTGAGTGATTTACTAAAGTCCAGAGATACTTGGGGGCAGAGTTCAGGTCTCCTGATGATCAGTTTACTGCTTTTTCCATAAGAGGGTGCTATGGATAAAGTCTCTTTACAGTAAGTTGTTGTTAACGAGCTTTCATGTGCTGATCTCAATAAGAATTTAACTGGATTTTAAAACCCAGGAAGTATTTTTAATATAATTGCTATACACTAAGGAAGTACACCAGGGACATAAGCCTGGATAGGGGCTGTGTAAATCTCTTAGAACTGTCTGGATTATTATTTGGGTAGGTTTGTGGTTATTGTATTTAATGTAGGCAGAAAAAGAGATGATAGTAAAACATAATCAACCAGTAGTCGGAGTAGTTCATCAGCGGGATAACCTCTAAGAAGCTGGGTGTTCACTGTGGTTGCATGTGACTAAAGCAGGGGACAGTTGTGGAATCTGTTCCTGATGAGACTGGAAGCTCACACGGCAACTTAACATTGTAAGATAAATTTTTTTTTTTGAGTCGGAGTCTCACTTTTCATCCAGGCTGGAGAGCAGTGGCATGCTCACAGCCACCGCAGCCTTGACTTGCTGGGCTCAGGCAGTCCTTCCACCTCAGCCTTCCAAGTAACTGGAACTATAGGCATGGGCTAATTTTTTGATTTATTGTAGAGATGAGGTCTCACCATATTGCGCAGGTTTGCCTTGAACCCATGGGCACAGGCAGTCCTCTCACCTCTGCCTCCCAAAATGCCAGGATTACAGGTGTGAGCCACTGCGCCTGGCTACATTTTTAGATAAATTACAACTTAGAGTTTTAGTATGGACCATTTGTAAATTTTTCTTTTGCTTACATTTTTTATTTAGCCTCATTCTTAGTCTTTAAAAGAACTGCCCTTTGTTCAAAGTTACTTTCACAAGAAGGATGATTGAATTAACTAAAGCAGGGAGAACAAAGATCAGAGGAACTCTTCAAGCTTCTTTGAAACCTGACCTGAATTTAAAGCAGCGAATTGTAGGGAAGGTCATATTCATAAAGATAGAAAGTAGAATGATAGTTGCCAGAGGAAGTGGTAGTTACTGTTCAATGGGCATGGAGTTTCAGTTTAGGAAGATGAAAAGGTTCTGGAGATGGATGGTGGTGACAGTTGCCCAGCAGTGTGAGTGTACTGAGTGCCACTGAACTATACACTTAAAAACGGTTTACCATAATAAAAAATGTAAGGAAGATTTTTTTTTTTTTTTTTTGAGTTGGAGTCTCACTCTGTCACCCAGACTGGGCTGCAGTGGCCGCTCCTGGCCACCGCAGCCTCGACCTGCTAGGCTCCGGCGATCCTTCTGCCTCAGCCTTCCAAGTAGCTGGAGTTACAGACGCGCGCTACCACGCCCAACTAATTTTTGATTTATTGTAGAGATGAGGTCTCACCAAGTTGCCCATGTGGGTCTCGAACCCGCGGGCTCAGGCAATCCACTCACTTCAGCCTCCCAAAGGCACGGGATTATAGGCTGAGCCACCGAGCCCGGCTAAGGAAGATGTTTTCACCTTACCTAAGTCTCTACATACTTTGAAGACTAACCCGAATTTAAGGCAATAATATGTAAGGAATGTGTTCTTATTAAAATATTTAAATAGAAGCAGTTGACTTTGTTCTTCTGTGTGAAGCCATCAGGCCAGTGTACAGGTGGAGTCGTTGCAGGAACAACTGAACGTGGTCTCCAGGCAGAGGGATGAGACCACACTGCAGCTCTCTGCCTCTCAGGAGCAGGTGAAGCAGTATGCGCTGTCACTGGCCAACCTGCAGATGGTCCTGGAGCACTTCCAACAAGGTGAGTTTGTGCTCACTCTCTCAGTGGAAACAGATTGTATCTATTGACAGTTTTGCCTTATTTGAGTGCTGTTTTAGATCAGGCATGGAGAATCATTGAAGGGTTGCCCACTTGTAAGGGGAAAGGTTAATTTAGGCTCTTTTTACAATTAGGATGGGAACCATAAACTATATTTAGTAAGTATTAAACATTGGCTTTAGTGTCATATTACCAGTTAAGGTGAGAATTGAAGAACTTTAAGGGAAGATGACCAAGTAATAAAGAGGGGGTACAAAGGAAGAGAGGGCTACACGCACACGCCCAGGATGGTGGGTTCTAAGTACTGCCTGGGGCTGAGCTACTTAGAGCATTGATCATTAGTCTTTACTGTTGTTGGAGACATTGACTGACTTGTTCTCAGCTTCTTGTCTATGCTTGGAGGTAACTACATTTTCTAGCACAAGGGGAAGACACTTTTGGGAGACAATAGTGATAACCAGAGCAGTTTTACCCCAAGGACCAGGCACGCCTATTCCCATTCCGCCTCCTGTCCTTAGAGCTGCCCATGCTGGGTCATCCATTCATCCACGTGTCACTCATGCATGAGTAACTGTTAACAGTCAATTCCTTGCTGATGGAGAGGTGATGAGGGGACATAACAGGGGCTTATAGTTTAGTGCCTAGGCAAAACTTTAAATTTGTATTTCTGTGTCTTTCAGGAGTGAAGTTTTGAATTTTAAATAAAGAATTCTCTAGGTCTGTTTTACAGTATGATAGAATTACTAAATGGGGCGTATATACAAAGTAGTGTGGCACTGAGGCAGTAGGAAAAACATGTCCAGAGACGAAGCATTTGAATGGAGTTCTACAGGGAAGAAGGGTCTAGGCAGAGGAAGCTGAGCTTACTGCACCAGGGCCACTTAACATATCACTAAAGCATGTGTACTTGTCTTTGTTGAGACATTTGGTTTTGTTGGGTGATTAATATTTCAGAGGGTTTAAAATTCCAGTTTTATTATGTAATTGCAAAATGTAACTTTCTTTTTTCTTTAGAGGAAAAAGCTATGTATTCTGCTGAACTAGAAAAGCAAAAACAGCATATCAGTGAGTGGAAGAAAAAGACAGAACATTTGGAAGGAAAAGTGATATTATTACAGGTAGGTCAAAGCGGTTTCCTCTTGTGGTTTTTATTATTTATGAAAGAATTGCTTTTGTGGAAACTTTAGCTTGGAAATAATCTCCGAAAACGTTCATTTAGTGAGTATGTTGTGCGTGGCTGCTCTGTGTTTGGCTATCTCTTGGAGGCTAGCAGTGAACACAGTACTCAGGACTTCTCTCAGATGACAGAGTAGACATAGCAAATGCAAGATGGTGGGATATTTATACTCTTATATGGGTATTTTAGAGATCCCCCCAGAAAAATTACCTGTTCAACTTTATAATTTTCTCTTTTCAACAAAATATATTGAGCACTCTTTCATGTGAATTAAAATACTGTATCTCAATCTCATTAAATCTTTGTATTTTGTTGCGTCACCCTTTGAAATAATTTTTACTTTTTTTTTAATCAAGAGACTAGTTTTATTCTGAATCATGTGCCATTGGTATAAATAAAAGTCCTGAGCCTTTCTTTTTATTTTTAATTTTTTTAGTAATTGTCTGAAATTTCTGTGACCTTGCTCTGAATGGAGCAGGGCAAGGCCTCAAACCATTTCAAAATGATTGCGTTGGGTACTATGAGAATGCACAGTACACACAGACCCACACACACGGGCCTGCTAAGATTCTGCTTTATTGCCATGCTGTGTTTCATACATACAAAAAGTTTACATAAGATACAAATAAAAAACCCCTATGAAGAGATATGACACCACAGTGACTTGTTTTAGATTTAGGAAAAACTTTCCTAAGTCATAAGTAGGTTCTGTGGATAGCTGGTGCAACATAATGAAATTTATTTACTGGCATTGGTGGTGGTGACTGTGCTCTTCAGGAACATTCAGGTTCCAAGTATGTGAGGACATATTTCCTATAGTTTTAACATTTTTATTAAACAGTAAGCGACAGCACAACAATCTAGGTAATAGGTATGAAATATAAGAATAACAATGCAGCAAATACCCACACACTCACCACTTGCTGTGAGAAGGAGCAGACACTCCTAGGAGTTCCTCAGGCCCCCACATCTCAGACCCCACTTGGTTAGGACCACCCCATTCTTAGGAGCTCCTCAGGATCCCCCCACCTCACCCCCACATATCAGACCCCACTCAGGTGAGAAGGAGCATTTTGTTCCGAGTTCCTCAAGTCCCCACATCTCAGTCCCCACTTGGTGAGAAGGAGTACCCTGTTTCTAAGAGTTCCTCAGGCCCCCACATATCAGACCCCACTCAGGTAAGAAGGAGCATCCCGTTTCTAAAAGTTCCTCAGGCCCCCGCACATCTCAGTCCCCACCTGTTAAGAAGGAGCACCCCATTCCTAAGAATTCCTCAGGCCCCCACATCTCAGCCCCTACCCAGCTGAGAAGGAGCATCACTAAGGGGGATGAATCCATTTGTGAGGGCAACGCCTCATGACCCAGACACCTCCCATCAGGTCCCACTGCTTTTGTGGGCACCAAGTTCCAGCATCTGAACTTTGGGTATTCGTTCAAGCCATAGCAGGAGGATATCTTGTGGTTTTGATTTGCATTTCTCTGGTTACAATGAGATCAAGTATCTTTTAATGTGTTTATTAACCATTCATGCTTACTTTCTTATCAGCTTATAATTTAAAAAGATATATTTTATCTAATATTTCTAGTTCTTTCTGGTAGACCCCAAGTATCAAATCTGTGAAACTGCAGGAATAGAAGTTCAGAACTTTTGTTTGTTTGTTTGTTTGGTTTTTTTTGTTTGTTTTTGAGTTGGAGTCTTACTCTGTCACTCAGGCTGAAGGGCAGTAGCACGCTCCTGACCACTGTAGCCTTGACCTGCTGGGCTCAGGCCATTCTTCCACCTCAGCCTTCCAAGTAGCTGGAACTGCAGGCACACGCCACCGTACCTGGCTAATTTTTTGATATATTGTAAAGATGAGGTCTCGCCAAGTTGCTTAGGCTGGTCTGGAACCCGCGGGCTCAGGCAATCATCTCACCTCTGACTCCCAAAGTGCTGGGATTATAGGCGTGAGCCACCATGCCCTGCCTTGTTTGTTTGTTTTTAAAACAAGGTCTTTGTGTTTTCCAGACTGGAGTGCAGTGGCCATTCATAGGCACAATCCGCAGCCTTGAACTCCTGGGCTCAAGTGATCCTCCCACCTCAGCTTGCTGAGTAGCTGAGACTACAGGCATGTACCATGACACCCAGCCAGATCTTTTTAAACTAATTTTATTTTTAAAAATTTAAAACATAATATACATTTAGAAAAACAACAAAATAAGTCAGAAGAAACTAAGAGATAAAGATAAAACCTGAACTTTATGAAATAAAAACAAATGGTAGAAAGAATAATGAAATATAAGTGTAGCCGGGCTCGGTGGCTCAGCCTGTAATCCCGCGCCTTTGGGAGGCTGAGGTGAGTGGACTGCCTGAGCCCGCGGGTTTGAGACCCGCCTGGGCAGCGAGACCTCATCTCTACAATAAATCAAAAAATCAGCTGGGCATAGTAGTGCATGCCTGTAATTCCGGCTACTCAGAGGGCTGAGGCGGAAGGATCCCTGGAGCCCAGCAGGCAAGGCTGCGGTGACCAGAAGCGGCCACTGCACTCTAGTCTGGGTGACCAAGTGAGATTCCAACTCAAAAAAAAAAGAGTGGAAGAACAAAAACTTAATAAAATCCCAAAGTCTTTAAAAAAAAAAAAAAAAAAGCCGAGCTCAGTGGCTCAGCCTGTAATCCCATGCCTTTGGGAGGCTGAGGTGAGTGGATTGCCTGAGCCCGCAGGTTCGAGACCTGCCTGGGCAGCGAGACCTCATCTCTACAATAAATCAAAAAATCAGCCGGGCGTGTTAGCGCATGCCTATAATTCCAGCTACTTGGAAGGCTGAGGCGGAAGGATCGTCAGAGCCCAGCAGGCGAGGCTGCGGTGGCCGGGAGCAGCCACTGCACTCCAGTCTGGGCGACCGAGTGAGACTCCAACTCAAAAAAAAAAAAAAGAAATATATAAGTGTTGATTTTTGAAAGTGTCTTAGTTTAGTTTTAAGCTTTAAGAATTTCATAAGTATAAAAGCTGTGAGGTTAAGAAATTACTTGAAAGTTTATTTAAATTTTCTTCATACTAAATTTAGTTTAATGGATTTAGAATATAAATATTTTATTTACGTTTTTAAAATTCAGTCCCCCCATATCAGTCAGGGTTCAGCCCCTAAGAAGCAGAACCAGTAGGGTGCGTATGTGTTGTCAGATCTTTCCATGGGATACATGTGGATCTTCACACATGTAGATATTATAGGGAATTGACTACATGATTGCGGGGCCAGCTGAGCAAGCCTGAACTTCGTAGGCCAGGCCGTCAAGATGGGAAGTCCATGGCCAGCGCAGAGGCTCATACCTGTCATCCCAGCAATTTGGGAATCCAAGGCAAGAGGATTGCCTGAGCCCAGGGGTTTGAGAGCAGAGTACGCAACTTGGCAAGAGCTTGACTTCACAATAAATCAAAAAATTAACCAGGCAGTGTCGTACACGCCTGTAGTTCTTGCTACTTGGAAGGCTGAGATAGAAGACTTACCTGAGCCCAGCAGTTCAAGTGATTGTGCCACTGCACTCCAGCCTGGGGTGACAGAGTGAGGCTTCAACTCAAAGAAAGGCCAGGTGCGGTGTCTCGTGCCTGTAATCCCAGCACTTTAGGAGGTGGAGGTGAGAGGAATACCTGAGCCTACCGGTTTGAGACCAGCCTGGGCAACTTGGCAAGACCTTGTCTCTACAATAAATAAAAAAATTAGCTGGGCATGATGGCACGCACCTGTAGTTCCAGCTCCTTGGAAGGCTGAAGTGGAAGGATTGTCTGAACCCAACAGGTTGAGGCTGTGGTGGCCATGAGTGTGCCACTGCACTCCAGCCTGGGTGACAGAGTGACTCAAAAAGAAGATGGGAAGACAACATCAGAGGCGGGCTGATCACAGGCAGGGCCACAGGAGTTGTCCACAGGCCGTCACAAGAACAAAGCCACCAGCAGGACAGAACTGCACAGGCACAGGCAGGAGCTGCTGTCCAGAGAAGGGGCGTCTTCTCTCTTCTGTGGGGCCTGAGTCCTACTTCTAAGAACCTTGAGCTGGTTCAGTCAGGCCTGCCCAGATTATCCAGGACAATGTGCCTTTTTTACATTCAATTGATTAAGGACTTTGATTACATATGCAAAATATCTTTACAGCAATATCTAGATTATATTTGACTGAATAACTGGCAACTGTAGCCCATCCAAGATGACATATTGGAAATGTATCACACTGATTAAAGACAGTAAAACTTGATCTGAAATTTACATGAGTAGATATTTGAGAATAGCCAAAAAAAAAATATGAGAAAGAACAGTGGGGGAGAGACTTGCCTACTAGATATCAAAATAGAGCCAGAAAGCAACATGATATTGACTAGATTATGGAACAGAAGAATCCAGAAATAGAGCCCAGGGCATATTTAAGAATTTGAAGCTAAACCCTCACCCAAACTAACTTTAATTTAGTGAGAAAACTTTAATTTAGTGAGATAAATGATATAATAAATGATATTGGCACAACTGTCATAAGGAAGAAAAAATTGGATTCCATCTTACACCGTATACAAAAATAAATTCCAATTGAATCAAAGCACAGATTCTCAACTGGGAATGGTTCTAAATATCTGGGGATGGATTTGGTTGTTACTGTTACTAGATGGCTCTTCTGGTATTAAATGGGCCAGGAATGTGCCTGAAGCATTCCCATTGAGAAACACTGTATCAGCCGAGCTCAGTGGCTCAGCCTATAATCCCGCGCCTTTGGGAGACTGAGGTGAGTGGATTGCCTGAGCCCGTGGGTTCGAGACCCGCCTGGGCAACTTGGCGAGACCTCATCTCTACAATAAATCAAAAATTAGCCGGGCGTGGTAGCGCGCACCTGTAGTTCCAGCTACTCGGAAGGCTGAGGCGTAAGGATCACCGGAGCCCAGCAGGTCGAGGCTGCGGTGGCCTCTCCGGTGGCCGGGAGCAGCCACTGCACTTCAGTCTGGGCGACAGAGTGAGACTCCAACTAAAAAAAAAAAAAAGAGAGAGAGAGAAACACTGTATCAAGATAAAAAAAAATCTTAAAATCTAGCAAACTGCACGTACAGTCTAGGGACATGAAAAATTCCTCCTAGCCAAGACTAAAACTCAAGCATCTGCAAAAGCAAAGTAGAACATGTCTGACTATATGCAATTTTAAATTGTTTACATGACAAAAGATGATAGAGTCAGTAGACAGATGCAAACCGTTTGTATAGCACAGGCAAAAAAGGTTCATATTTAATACACAAGGTGCTCTTAGAAGTTTACAAGAGAAAGATAGCTCAAGGGAAGTATGGACAACGTCTGCAAAGAGGTCTTCACAGAAGGGTAAATCCAACTTGCCCTGTAAGCATGAAAAAGAATGCCCAAAATCACTAGTAAAAAGCAGAGGAAATACAATTTAAAGTGACAGATCATAACGAAACATTACATTATTTATTAGAATTGCAAAAGTTAAAACAAGAAGAACATTTATTACTGTATTTCTTGGCTTTCTGTGTCTTGTTTTTTTGTCTTCATATTATTGTCACTTTGTCACCTCTGTCACTGTGTTGTGTTTCAGGGGCATCTGCTCTTTAGTGAGCTCCCCTGAAGGAGGCTGGGTTGTTGGGAGATAATGTGGGATCCATCTTTAACAGTAATCAGCTGGACGCACTTGCCCAAGGCCATGGGGTGCAGCCTTCCCCATGGAAGCATGAAGGATCTCTACAATAAATCAAAAATTAGCCGGGTGTGGTAGCGCACGCCTGTAGTTCCAGCTACTCGGAAGGCTGAGGTGGAAGGATCACTCCATGCTTCCATGGGGTGCAGCCTTCCCCATGGAAGCATGTCTCCAGCCCTGTCATGTGCCACTTGTGCACACAGCTTCCTAACACACTGTCCTCTCTCAGGAGCGTTTGGAGGAAGCAAATGCTGCGTTGGATTCAGCATCCAGACTCACAGAACAGCTGGATCTGAAAGAAGAACAAATCGAAGAACTTAAAAAACAAAGTAAGTTTCTTCCTTTTCTTTTTCCTCCCTGCAGTCCTGGGGCTTAACTAGCATCATCTTCTGAGACCAGCTTCATGGTGTGTGACTTCCTTTCTGTCTCCGTGGCTGATCTGCTTCTGTTTGAGTCTAGTCCTTGGAAAACCAGAGTCACTAAGCAAGCGTGGCTGTCCGGTTTCCTGGACGCCGAGACACTGCTGCTGTGCTGGTAGCCACCCTGTGGACCATCAAGGAGGCTCATTGGATTGATCTGACTCGTTATGATCTTGACTTCTTCCTGATGAGCTCATGTGTACCTGTCCATGCCATCTATCCGTGAGAGAGGGCAGGATTCTTAATAGAAGAGTAGTTTTGTAGAATTAATGTCTGGGTAAAACTAGATTTTGATTACTATACATGGTGAAAGCACCAGGCACATTATGTATTTTTTGGTGCTTGTCTGGTGTCTCATGTTCCCCATCAGTTTGCTTAGGTGAGTCGTGTGCTTAGGATTATCACTTGGGCCTCAGATTATCAGATGGTTGGGTGCTTTGTTGTATCTTAATAGCTGACGAAGATGACAAGTCTTTACTGAATCTTTGACTTGGGTGTAACCAGGAGGGTAAAGCTATTATAGGGCTGCATTTAGTTGATCCAGGGTTATAGGAAGGCTGGTGGTGGAGCCTGGAAATGCAGCCACGTCAGCTGTCTAGGCTGGGCACAGCAGGACAAGGTGTGGAATTAAGGGATTAAATGCTCGCCAACCACACAACATAGAAATTAAAACAGACAGAAATTGGAGGCGGTGGCAGAGCAGAGATCCTGTCAAACAACAGGACAGTGGCTGGACACTGCAGAGGCAGGCGGGCCAGCACCCCTGGAGCTTGGCCACCAGAGGGCAGCCTGTGTGAATGACCCAGTCCTGCAGGGACAGGATATGGGAGCTTCTAGAATCACAGAAAACAGCAAGGTACATGTGAGGTGATCGTCCTCAGGATGTCTTGATTTAAGGCAAATCATTGCCCAACTAAAGTCCTCTGCCTTGTGAGATGTGGTCAGCCAGAGCAGCTGGGAAGCCTGCTCTAGGAGCAGGCCTGGAGGTGGGCAACCAGGAAACAGTTACTCATCGAGTGTCTGTACAGACATTGGATGGACATGTGTGTGTTACTGCACCATCTCCTCATTTCCTTTTCATAAGCAGCTCCAAAACAGGTGCTGTTCATTCTACTTTCAGTAACAGAAACTGAGATTCAAACTGTGATCTCTTTGCCCATCACCAAAATGCATGGTTTTTCCACGTTACTGTTTTCCGGTCAGGAAAATGGGGTTTATAATCTGACTTGTATTTTGTAATAAATATCTCCGTGTACCTTGAAGATAAGGTTGTATCTTCTGTGTTGTACCCCAAGTGTTGAAGTGGTTGCCTTGATTAAGAGGCAGTGTTTGTTGGGAAAGTCTCGTTGGATTGAAGGCCAGTCAGGTGTAGCACCTGGAAGACACATGGGCAATGCATGGAGACACCCTAGCACTGCTGAGTCTGCCGAGAGTTGACTCAGGACAGGGCTAGATCCATGGTGGTGACAGGGCAGGGTTAGGAACAACTTCATGCTGTATGTCATGCTGCTGTGGCACCTGAGGCCATGTTCTCTTAGGCCTCTGCTGGACATTCCCAGTGGTGATGGCATGATGAGTTGTATGACTCACCATAGTGGGCCAATATTTGCAGAGTCCTTGAATCCAAAATCCCTACTCTGAAATCCAGAATGCACCAAAGTCCAAAACTTTCTGAGTGCCAACATGACATTCAAGGGAAATGCTTATTGAATTAATTTGGACTTGTGATTTTCAGATTAGGAAGTACTATAATGCAAATTAGTATAATGCAAATATTCCCAAAATCTGGAAAAATCCAAAGTTTGAAACATGTCTGGTCCCGAGCATTTTGGATAGAGTTTCCTCAGCCTGTATTTGGTACTTGTTCAGGCATTGATTTAAGCCCCCACTAGTAGAATAATATTTTCGGATTTCCTAGATTGTATCTGGTAAGGCTTAGGTGGTCAAGGCTGCTTGCTATTCACGTGGCAAAGGACAGCATTCATTGTAAATGCACGGGAACTTTGGGCAAGCTTTGGGCTCACGTTGTAGCATCATTTTAGCTATGGAAAAAGCTCTGTGCTTATGCAACGGTGTTTGAAAGATCGGCGGGAGGCCAGTGTTGCCCAGACAGTGGGGGGGGGGGGTACTAAAGAGACGCTGGGTTCTGTTCTGTCTTGAAATCATTCTTGCCAGTTACAGCTCTGCTCGACAATCTGTTTTCTTACATTACCTAAGTGCTTAGTATCGCTTTCATATCTAAACACAAATACGATTTTATCTTCTTAGTGCTGCACTCTTGATTCAGTAATGTAAACAAAATTTGGATGGGCCCGCTTGTTTCAAAAGAATCACTGTGTATTTTCTTTCATAGATCATTAAGTACTTTAAATGTTGATTGATGTTGTAATACTGTACTTTATTTTTAACACAAAACTTGGCCAGACAGCAAAAATATTTGCCAGGAGAAACAATTTTGAAAAAGACAGATTGACTTTTGTTGCAAGAAAGGACATGGAGACTTGAATTGTAGAGGGCAAGAATTGTTTTATTTCTAAGCATCTGACTATTGATGAGTTGATATGCCGTTTCAACATTTAAACAATATTGGGAAACTCACTTTAAAAGGTGGCATTTTTATTCAGAATGGTTGATTATGTCATTGCTACCAGAAAGGAGACGGTTTGGTCTGGTCTCACATCTGAAGAGAGCTTTTGCACATAATACCCGTGTTGGCACATAATACCCATGTTAAAACAGTGGGATGTTGGTCATTTGGGTCATTTCTTTTTTTTTTTTTTTTGAGTCAGAATCTCACTGTTGCCCAGGCTAAAGTGCAGTGCCACACTCACAACCATTGCAGTCTCGACCTGCTGGGCTCAGGCAATGCTTCTGTCTCAGCCTTCCAAGTAGCTGGAACTACAGGCACGTGCCACCATGCCTGGCTAATTTTTTGATTTATTGTAGAGATGAGGTCTCACCAAGTTGCCCAGGCAGGTCTCGAACCCGCAGGCTCAAGCAATCCACTCACCTCAGCCTCCCAAAGCGCGGGATTATAGACTGAGCCACCGAGCCCGGCTCGTTGGGGTCATTTCTTAGAGCATGTACATGCAGCTATGGCTGTGAATTCAGGATATTGACAGGCCTTGTGTGAATGTGTGAAGGTAAATGTTTATCAGGGTTAAGTGTGGAACAGGCACCAGCTGCTCTGCTTCCTGTAAGGCATGTGTGAGATACTAGACAGGACCCCTTTCAAGGAGCTGAGCTGAGGAAATGCCACAAGTAGCAATTTAAGACAGTGGTCCACAGGGTGATGGTGACACAGGGCCTGCTGCGTGCCCGCAGAATCCTGTTCAGGGTCAGGCAAAATTCCATGGTGAAAAGAACTGGTTGAGAGCCTGAAACCAGTAGTAGGACACTGTGTGGGGGTCCAGGTCTCTCTCTCCCCCTCCCCCACACCCCTTCCCCACTCCCTGGGAAAGTAGTAATGGCAGGAAATCCTAAGATCCTTTGAGAACTGTCGTTGAACAGACAATGTTGGCTGGTAAGATAATCACTGATATCCTTCCTTTTAGAAATTATCCTTTCAGCATTTTACCTGGAAGTGTTCTTTTTCAATATAGTTCTAGAGATTGACTCACACGCTACCCTGCACCCAGACTCAGTCTGTGACTCAGGACAGCATCTCTCATGAACCCCTCTTGGTTGACAGAAGTTCAGAGTGTCCATGGAATGATCACTAAGAGAAAGTGCGCATCTGTGAGAGCCTAGGCTACAGCTGAGCATTAGGGATTGTTCCATTGCTGTCCTCATGGCCAAACTTGACATTTTCCTTCTTTCACTTCCTGTTTTTTCCTGTCATCCTTGAGATGAATTCCTACCTAAATGAAAATGACTGGATACACAGAAATAGCACAAGCCCGTTCTCATTTTGATAACCATGATTCACATGGGGGTGCATTCATGGTGTGCAAAGAAACTCAAGTCTTCCTCAGTAGTGCAGACTTAGTTCTGGTGCTGGCAGCTCTCTTGGTCTGTATCTTAGACTTGTGTCTTAAGGGGCCCCATAGCTGATTTTTTAAAAAGAGAACATTTAGTGACTGCTTTTGAAAGTCTTCTGTGAGTTGAGAATGGAAAATTTCCTTAGAGTATTTTTTAAAAAGAATCTAGAAGAATGTATAAAAGAAGTCCCAATAAAACTTAAGGTAATAGGAAGCATAAAAACTTCTTGTAAAACTGCAAATATAAAAGAAACTTAAAATGTTTTTCATGGAACTACCTTTATGATGCTGGATGGTAGAGTTTTTATTTTAAATAAAGACATTTCCTTTTCCAGGATATGATTTATACAAAAAACATATAACGTCCTGTTGAACAGAGGCCAGATGCATTCCCAGACACTTTGTTACCCAGGCCTTAGGAGGGGTTTCTTTAGAGATGTTTTTGGCAGAAGTGGTGATTTTGGAGGAAACATATAAGAAGTACCAGATGCAGTTTTTTGAATAGCTATAAATGGCTGAAAAATTATTTGTGGTGATACAGACATCTGGGTATACTAGACAATGCCAAAATATGAGTTAAGAAAAAGTGTATATCAATTAGGCAAATAATTAAGCCCTTTTTAACTTAATAGTTATATTTTTAAATATACATCTCCCTGATAGTAATGTCTAAGCTGAACTACGTCTTAGAAATAGCTATTATTTTTAAAACAGTTCCTCTAGGTATAAAGGATAAGATCAGTTACATGGCGCTTAGAGGCTCTGATTACTGCAGGGTGTGTGCACCCCTTGTCCTGCATGTGTGGGGATGGGCCTGTAACTTAGAACGGAGTCTCTGGTTCTTTTTGTCCTGTGTTCTGATCTTTCCGGACATTCTCCCTTCCCAGAGAAAATCAGTTATTCTTTCGTTATTTCCAAATATGCATTATC